TATACTTGGGATGGAACTCGGGGCTTCCTGCATGCTAGGCTATACTGTCGACCAAGTTACAGCCCCAGCCTGAAATACTGAGTTATGCAAAGGCAATCTCTGGTGCGCTTCCTCGTGTAATGTCTGCTTCCCCCACTAAACTCCCTGATAAAAGAGACTTACTTGTTTTGTTTATTTCAAAAAGACCTCTGTAGTTCAAGCTGGCCTCAAAGTCATTGTGTGGTCCAGGCTGGCATAGAGCTCACTGTAATCTTCCAGTGTGGAGGACCGCCTCACCCTTCCAAGAGTTGAGGTTACAGGCATGAATAGCTGCTGTATTCACTGCAGTGTCCATGAGGATAAGGGTACCATCCCTCAAACAGTACTCACAAACATTTCTGTTTGTTTATTTGTTTGCTTGCTTTGCAGCGCTGGAGATGGAACCCAAGGTTTTGTATATGCTAGTCAAGTATACTTCTACAGAGCGATACCTCCAGATCCAGAAAATCTTAAAAAAATAATTTATGTGTGAAAGCCAGGCCTGACAGTGTATGCCTATAATGTCAGCACTTGGTAGGTAGAATTTGCAGGGTGAGAATATAAGCTGGAGTACACGAGACCCTATCTCAAAAAACCCAAAAAAATAATATATAAGTTAAAAAAAATAGACCACTGGATGGAAAACATAATGAGTGAATAAAAAAAAAAAAGTTAAAAGTAGCAGTAATAGCAATTAACCATGATGGATTCCTGATGAGTCACTGCATTTGTTGGCAAGATATTTAATGAGGCACTTGTTTGGACATCTTTCGCAGAAGATCCTGTGACTCCATAGATTATAATCATATCATCTTGTAAAGGTGGTATGGGAGTGTTCACACATATTTCAGGGTGTCTGCTCAATTACAGGATAACAGGATATGGTCAATTTTGACACAGCCAGCAAAGAATTGTTTGAACCTTAGGAAAGCCTTCACATATTCAGAGCTGAGAAATCCAGAACACATACTTTTACAGGAATGTGCTGGCAGGATCAATTGAAGGCTGAAGGGAAGTGGCAGTAATATCAGGCCACCTAGAAATGCTTTAGGTAGGAACACAAGCAGAGATTTTAACTTACTGGGACTCTTATCTCACACATACCCAGGCAATAACCTGTATCAGTCCACCTTCATTCTGTGGGGTATTCATTTTTTTTTCAGTGCTTCATACCAGTCAACACACGTTCATACTATTCCTATTATGCTGTGAAGACTCTCCCAACCCCCAGGCCTTGGCATGATGACTAAAACACAGTATGTGATTGCTCATAGACTAGTAGAGCCACAGTTACAGTACACTATGATAAATGCTTTGCTTTGTAGACCAGGCTGGCCTCCAACTCACAGAGACCTGCCTGCCTCTGCCTCTCTGAGTGCTGGGATTCCAGGTATGTGTCATCACCCCCCAGGTGTTTAGTTTCTTTTTAAAGATTTATTTATTTTTATTTTATGTGTATGAGTCTTTGCATATATGCATGTATACCATGTGCCTGCCTGGTTCTATCATCAGCACTGAAGAAAAAAAAAAAAGCAATGTTTGTGAGTACTGTATATGGTATATTGACCTGATTCTCATAGACAGAGCAGTGAACACAACAGATGACTAAGCCAGCAATCTCAAAGTTTGGGAGGCTAACGCTGGAAGATTACAGTGAGCTTCAGGCTAGACTGGGCCACATAATGACTTAAGGGCCAGTGTGGACTATGGAAGAAGAACATTTTAAAATTAACAAATAAAATAGGCAAATCTCTATTTTCACAGAGTGTAGTGGGGGAAAGCAGACATTATGCAAGGCCAGAAGAGAGCACTGGATCCCCTGGAAGATGGGTTAAAGATGGTTGTAAGCTGTCATGTAGTTGTAGGAACTGAACCTGGGCTCTGAAAGAGCCAGTGCTCTTAACTCCTCAGCCATCCTTCTTTTTCTTTTTAAAATTAATTTATTTATTCACTTTACTTCCTAACCGTAGCTCCCTCCCTCCTCTCCTCCTGGTCCCACACTCTTACCTTCTTCTTCCTTCCCCTTTCCACCACTGCTCAGAAAAAAGAAGCCCCCTCCCTTTTAATCCACCACAGCATATCAAGTCTCATCAGGACTGGGTGCATCCTCTTCCCTTCTGGCCTTGTGAGGCAGCCCTGCCAGGGGGAAGTGATCAAAAAGTAGGCAACAGAGTCCATGTCAGAGACAACCTCTGCTCCTCTTATGAGGGAACCCACATGGAGACTGAGGTGCCCATCAGCTACATCTGTGTAGGGTGAACCATTTTTCTACATCCTGTTGTTTGGTTTCTTTACTTTTCATTCAGAGAGATTTTTTTTTTTTGGCAGGGTCTCAATCTATAGCCCCAAGTTAACTCGCTTCATGAGTGGTCCTCTTGCCTCAGCTTCCCAAGTGCTGGAATTACAGATGTAGGCCACCAGACTAGGCTTTGAAGAGAACTTTCAATTTTCCAGAAGAGTGCTAGAATAAAAATAGTAGGAAGTATACTTATCTCAATTTCGCAGGTTCACTTTCTAGTAACTCTTTACCACAGGTGCTTTATCATTTCTGTGGTTGTTCTCCCTTTATTTTTAAAATTAAAAGGTGTTTGTGTGTGTGTGTTTGTATGTGTGTGTGTGAATGTGTGTGTGTGTGTGTGTGTGTGTGTGTGCACATGCACATGGGTACATTTGGAGGTCAAAAGACAACTTGTAAGAGTTGGCTCTTACTTTCCATCATGTGGGTCCTAGATATTGCACTCAGGTTTTCAAGCTTGGTGGTAAATGTCTCTACTCAATGAGCCGTATCACTGCTATCCCTCTATCTACCTGTCTGTGTGCCTTCTCTCAACTACTAGAATGTAGTATATATCCTGGTCCTTCATCCCAAAATATGTCCACACATGTTTGTTAAAGGATACGGTAAACCAGATGTAGTAGCTCACGCCTGTAATCCCAGCAAGTGAAACACTGAGGCAAGCAGCTTGCCACAAATTAATAAGCAAGCTTGGAACACATAATAAGCTGCATTCTGTAACCAAGGCCTGGAGATAGAGCGAGACTATGTCTCAAAAGAGAAACAAATAAAAAAAAAATACAGCGCTGCTGGACATGGTGGCACACACCTTTATTTCCAAGAGTTGGGAGGTAGAAGCATGCAGATCTCTGAGTTTAAGGCCAGTCTGGTCAACACAGAAAATTTCAGGCCAGCCAGAGCTATATAATGAGACCCTCTCTGAAGCAAAAACAGAATAGAACACAACAAAATAAAACATAAAAAACCAGAGGTTTCTTTTTACACAAGTACCAGTAGTAACAACTTCAAAACATTACATAGTTTCATTTTTATTAAATCAAATGTGTTGTTATAGTCCAGTTTTAGCAGTTACTCCACCAACTTCCTTTATAGCATTTCCCTTTTCCAGTGCAGAATGAAGCCTATAGTCAGGTACTCTTTTTTTCTGTTTGTTTGATTTTTGTTTTTGTTTTTTAATACAGTCAGTCTTAAAAAGATGAATTTCTTTAGATCATCAAATAATAATTGTACAGGTCTGTAAGGCAGTGTTCCACTCATAAGAAAACATAATATTTCTTTCTTAAAAAAACTAAAAGTTACTATGTTTAAAAATGTATATGTGTACCTGCATGTGTGTGGTTATTTGTATATGAAAACAGATGCATGAGAAGACCAAAGAAATATCTGATTTATAGGTGGTTGTAAGTCATCACAAGTCCTGTGAAGTAAGCTCCGATCCTCTGAAAGAGCAGTAAGCACTTTCAACTGCCTAGTCATCTCTTTAGCCTCTCTTTGCATCTTTTAAATGATTTTTTTTTTCCCGAAGGGTGGCATTTGGAACACAGTGAGACAGTTTCACATTTTAGGTCAGAAGATTCTAGAACTCATTCTAAAGCCCAGACTGACTTCAACATGTGATAGTTCTGCCTCAGACTGCCACATACCATACCCATCCCTTATTAAAAGTTTTGAGTAACTTTTAAAAAATCTCCACAAGCAGGGCATGGTGGTGCACATCAGCACTCCGGGAGGCAGAGGCAGGAGGATCGCTGTGAGTTTGAGGCTAGCTGATCTACAAAGTGAGTCCAGGATAGCAAAGGCTACACAGAGAAACCCTGTCTCAAAAAAAATCACACAAATCAATCAATCAATCAATCAATCAATCAATCAATCAATCAATGATAAATAAATAAATAAACCTCCTCAAAAGGACAAGCTTAAACATTTGTTTAATTATATCAGTGTGTTGCCTAAATGTATCCCATGGTGTGCTTGGTGCCTGCAGAGGCCAGAAGAAGGTGTTGACTCTGCTGGAACTGGAGTTTTAGAGCCACTGAATGGTTTTGAGCCACCTGACATGGGTGCTGAGAATGGCACCTGGGTCTTCTGGAAGAACAGCAAGTGCTCTTAACCACTGAGCATCTCTCCAGCCATAAGGAGCATGCTTACCTTGTTGAAACTGCACATTTTAGGTATCAGGCATATACTCCCTCACACATTATCAAACTGAAGCTGGAAACCTTATTCATCACTTTTTGCCATCAACACCTTGCTCCACAGGGCCAAACTATGTGTTTCTGAGGCTAGGCAGGGAAATCAATACCCATGAAAAATAGGTACCATCCTTTCCCCAGATGCTCATTGAAACCTCATTTGACACAGGAGCCTTACGAAATTTGATACTGATGCCAAATCATTGCTGAGTTGCCTGCCTCTCTAAATCATGAGACATACCCAGACACTGCTGAATTGCAGCCATGGGAACAATGAACAAAATCAGGAGTCTCACAGTCCTCATCTTCTCAGATGACTTCTGTCTTTCCAGGAGTTCATCTAGCAATCTAGGCTTGATGAGGATAAAGGAATCAGTGAAAAGGGGATGCCCAATAGCCATTGTAACCATTGGGGAATCATGCCATCCTCCCATCGTGGCAGGGACATTGTTGTTTTGAAATAAGAGCCTCTGGATTTATGCCTTTACCCACAGGACTTCCTCATGAGGTTTGGCTCCCTTATGTTTCTTTATGGAGAGAAGGAGAGCTCTTGTGACAGCCCTCAGCCCCCATCCCTCCCAGAGGATCTACAAGCAATTAACGGTTGTTGAAGGAAGAGGAGACATTTCTTTGGTGTTATAACTGTCTGTTGTTAATTGCCCACGCCCCTTTGGGTAAGCACTTACTCTCTTCTAAGCAGCCCAGTTCAATTAAACTTATTGTGTTAAGATCAGACTTTGCCTGATTCTAAGTGATTTCCTATTGTATGAAACAGTGGGTTTTGGGATTATGTATGGCTGTAGGAGACACCATTTTACAAGCAGGTTTTGACTCCATTCTGAGGAAGAAGGAGGCGACAACCACTGGATGGACCCAGAAACTGCATGACCTGCCAAGCACCAACCATCCAGCACATACTGATAAGTGACTTGTTTTGGGGAACACAGAAAGAACTTCCCTATATGTTTATAAAGGAGACTTGAAACTGTGGGAGCACCTGGGTCTAGTAAAATCTTATCAGGAAAGCCAAGCCTAAGAACTTATCAAACACACTGGATCAAGGAAAGGGTGTAACACTTTCACCTGTACTCCATAAAGCGATGGACACCTAACCCTGGGATGGCATGGCCCCACACCAGTGTACAACACTCAAGAACTGATGACTCCTGTATGTGGCTTGTTTCCACTGTAGTTCATTGAGACTACTCTACTTTCAACCCAGTTGTTTGCCCATCTGGAGGTTGACCAAACCAGTTTCTTGTTCTGAACCTGGTTTGGACTTTTCACCTTCAATTTGCAACCTCACTTAGCAGCAGTTTTTCCTAACAGTTCCCTTCCAACACTAGTCTGGCTCACTATCTTCTCTACGCAGACTTTTTTCAAGCCACTTCTGGATCCTCTTGACTGCTGTTGCTTTAACTTTTCATTCACGCTGCTTTAACTATTCATTCTGTAACACATACATGCATGGGCACACACACACACAGGCAGTAGATGGATTTATTATGTACTGTATGATGAGTGTTAATATTAGTAAAAAAGATTAGAATAAAAGAATCTGCATTTTCCTCTACCAAGCTACCAAGGTAGGCAGATTTTGTGAGATACTGCTGTCAGTAAAGCCTCTGAGATTTGTGAATTTATTTTTATTTAATTCTGACATTAAGGAAAGGCACAAGCTTGTTTGTATATATTTTCGGCATACTGTCTTCCCAACACATTTCTTCACTAAGCTAGGCTTGAGTGGCATTGTTTCTTTGCTCTGTCATTACTACCCTATTTGAGTTGACTAGATGTTTGTTAATGCCATCCCAGGAAAAGTTAATGTGACACATGTCTGTGCATGAAGTGCACAGCAGTGGTAAGTACTCAGATTGCCCTTTGCCTGCACTCAATCTCTTGTCACTGCATGTTGCCTACCATAGGCCAAAGCCAAGTGGAAGCCAGGGATCAAGAGAGCTCATGGGATCCAGACTGTGGCAAGGTCAGCTTTCAGGGCACAGGGTAAGGGAGAGAATGTCAGAGAATGGAATTTGAAGACCCATAAAAAGTATTCAACTCTTTCGTGTCATGAGTGGAGTTCTTGAAGTATTACCCTTCCTGACAGGTCTACATGGGGCAATCAAGGGAGCATTCTTTAGAGCTGCTAGCAGGACACAGAGGTGAATGCTGAAGTCCAAGTTGTTTGTTCTTGAGATAGGCCTCACTGTGTAGACCTGGCTGTTCTGGGACTCGTGGGACCATGCTGGCCTCAAACTCACAAAGATCTTTAAGCCTCAGCCTCCTGAGCCCTGAGATCAACGGTGTGTGCCACCATACCTTTTATCATGAAATAATGGGGTAAAGGATGTATGTACTTAAGGTGGCAAGATGACAACATAGAAATTGGGAAATAGCCAGGTGTGGATGCCTGTAGTCCTGGCACCCAGGAAGGAAAGACAGGAGGAGCACTGCAAGGTAAATCAGAAGTTGTCAGGGGATAGAGGGAGAAATGAGGAGATACAGAGTTTATTTTGTGGTAATAAAAATAGTCTGGAATTAGTAATGATGGTTGCATAACATTCTGAACTCAAGAAAACAAAAACAAAAACAAACTTGAAACAGGCCTCCAACCATGTGTCAGTGGTAGATGGTTTGCCTAATGTGTGCATGACTATGGGGATTATCCTCAGAAAGCTCCCAAATAAAAAAGAATTCTGTCTTAAAGTAGAGAAATGTACAGAGTGAATTATTCACAGTTAAAACGAAATAAGACTCTCCCTGATGGGGGAGCAGCCTTACCAGGCCACAGAGGAAGACAATGCAGCCACTCCTGATGAGACCTGATTAACTAGGGTCAGATGGAAGGGGAGGAGGACCTCCCCTATCAGTGGACTTGGAGAGGGGCATGAGAGGAGATGAGGGAGGGAAGGTGGGATTTGGAGGGAATAAGGGAGGGGGCTATAGCTGGGATAAAATGTAAATAAACAATTACAATGTAATTAATATTAAAAAAATTAAAATTAAAAAAGAAACAAATGTGTCAGACACACTTATACAAAAACAATTTCCTAGCCCATCAATGATAGAAACCTTGGAAATACATGCTGGAGTCCAAATATATTTAACTAAAATGAAATAAAATAAAATTGAAGAGTAAAAAAAAAAAACTAAATAAGAATAATGACAACATTGTTGTACAAACTGTGCTGAAACTATTTACACTGAAGACTAAAACCACACTATTGTATTTCCTTCTTTGATTTGGTCAATGTCCTTGGAAGAACCTTGATGAAACCTCTGGTTAATTTGAAGATTCTTGGATACTTTCTTATATGCACCCTACATGCAAATAGAGGCCCCTTGATCAAGTTACCACACACATTATCCCTGTACCATGCCAACCAGGTATTGTCCAAATCAGAGCTGACACAAAATACTCTAGGGTGAGTCCTCCCAGAATAGGTACCAAGCCATTCCACCTCTACGCAGAGCTGGACATGGACCAATGGTCCCAAGACCATTTGCTATTCCTCAGAGCAAAGCCTCCTGAGCTTCCTCTGCTCTGACATTGTCAGGCTTTCCAGTGCCACCTAGAGCAGGACCAAATGTTCCTCTATGCACACACTATCTTGTTTTTGTTGGTTTTTTTGAAGCAAGGTCTTACTCTGTAGATCAGGATGGCTGCAAACTCACAGATCCTCTCGCCTCTGCCTCCCAAAGTGCTGGGATTAAAGATGTGCACCACCACGACTGGCCCTCTGTGGTGATTCTAAATCTCATCAAGTTATAATCAAGATTAACCTTCAGGGCGGTGGTGAATCATGCCTTTCATCCTATTAGATGGAAGACTGACAGGACTGGAGAGATTGATCTGTGGTTAAGAGCACTGTCTGCTCTTCCAAAGGACCAAGGTTTAATTCCCAGCACCCACATGGCAGCTCACAACTGTCTGTAACGCCAATTCCAAGAGATCTGACACCTTCACATTAATGCACATAAACTAAAGTTAAAATAAATTTTTAAAAAGGTTGACTATCATTGTACTATCTTCTGATTTGTAAAATATCCAGAGCTCATAGCTTTATACAGGAAAGAGGTTTGTCTAGCTTCAAGTTTTGGAAGTTCAGGAGCATAGCACCAACATGTGTTCAGCTCTGGTGAGGGCTTGCTGGCTATATAAGAGCATGATGATAGATGGCCTCATGGTGTGAGTATAGAACAGAGATAGATAGTGAGGAAGGAAGCCAGAGAGAGCTGAGGAAGCTAAACCCATTTTATAAGTAACCCATCTGTAGAACTAATACGCAACAAGCGCAAACCCCTTCTCAGCCTACTGCCATGACAGCACAGTTGTTTTCTACTAAGACCCACTTTTCTTTCTTTCTTTCTTTCTTTCTTTCTTTCTTTCTTTCTTTCTTTCTTTCTTTCTTTCTTTCTTTCTTTCTCTCTCTCTCTCTCTCTCTCTCTCTCTCTCTCTCTTTCTTTCTTTCTTCTTTCTTTCTTTACAGGATTTCTCTGTGTAACCTTGGCTTTCATGGAACTTGCTCTATAGACCAGGCTGACCTTGAACTTAGAGATCCCCCTGCCTCTGCCTCCTGAGTGCTGGGATTAAAAGTGTGTGCCACCATTGCCCGGCACCGGCTATTCTTTTTTACTTTGTTTTGTAATTTTCTGACAGGGCCTTCTCTGTCACCCTGACTATCTTGCTGGCCTTTCCTCTGTCTCTCCAGTGCTGGGATTACAAGAATGCACCATCACACCTGGTACAAACCCCACCTTTTAAAGTTTCTTCTGCATCTCAGTACAGAGACAGACCAGCATAGGGATGGCATGGCAACCTTCAACACTGCTTGGCTTGAGAGCTACACACCCCTTTTTCACAAGGTACTTAACAATCCAAAACCCTCACCTACATCAAGCAGCTTGAAACAAAACAGTAGCTTGCCCCAGTAGCTTCCTAGCAACACATTAACACTCCCACCCCCACTTCCATCTTTTGTGGCTAAACACATCCTGTAGTGTATCCTAAAACTAAAGACAGTGGGACAATTGAGCCTGGATTGGTTTCAGATGCATGCGTAGTGAGACAAGATGTGCCCTCTGAGTGTACTTTTAGGAAAAGCACTTATGCCTATGTATCTAATGCCTATGCATGATTGTGCATGCATATGATTAAAATATGATATTTAAGAAAGGACATGTACACTGAACAAAGGCTTACATAACGCTAGCCTATCAATCAAAACAGAATACCACTTACACCTTACACTCCTAGTGTGCTGGCTGGTGTTTGTCAGCTTGACACAAAGTAGAATCATTTGGGAAGAGAGAAACTCAACTGAGAACATGCCCCTACCAGATTGGCCTGTGGACAAGCCTGAGGTGCTTTTTCTTCTTTAATGATTGATGTGGAAAGGCTTGGGCTAAAGTGAGTGGTGCTAATCATTGAGTAGATGGTCCTGGGGTGCATAAGAAAGCAGGCTAAGCAAGCCATAAGGAGTAAGTCAGTAAACAGCACTCCTCCAGGGCCTCTCATTTACTTCCCACCTAGAGTTCCTGTCCTGAATTCCTTCCTTAAGGAATTCCTTGTTGCTTTTGATCCTGGCATTTTATCACAGCAATAGAAATCCTAAACACCTAGCAATCCACTCTTCCTTCTGGACCTGAAAAGTGAAGATCCAGTGGCCAGGGCTCTTGAGGAAATCTCACCAGAGTCTATTATTCCCTTTCAGTTTATCTAAAAGCCCTTGT